CAATATGCTGACTCTGTAAACCGCTTAGAGAGGGCTGAAAGCCCTATGAAGCGGTATATAAGTCTAACTGCTATTGCTATTGCTAATTGAGCGATAGACATCTGTGCGCCGACAAAACCGCGACGTCAAAATCACGCCCACAAATTCGCGACGTCAAAATCGCACCGACAAAAGCGCAATGACAAGCACAATTAGAGTTAGGGTTAGGGTTAGGGTTAAGGTTATAACGTACGTATACGCGTAGTTTGTTGATGACGCGCATTTGTCGGCGCGCTTTTGTCGAAAATCAATTAGCGATTTTGACGTCGCGGTTTTGTCGTCACGGTTTTGTCGGCGCACATATGTCTATCGCGCATTTGTCGGTGAACCACCTCAGGCATGAAAGTCGGTTGGGTGACTTTGGGTCAATCACCCGGAGACGGTGAGTTCTAGTCTCGCCTCAGGCCTGAAAGCCGGCTGGGTGATTTTGAAGCAGTCTCCCCCTCAGCGCAGGCCACCGAACAAGATTGTTGTGTGGAAAAGGAGAGAGAAAGGAGTATTATGTACATTACTTAAAAAGTAATAATGGGAAGAGAAATATGTAATAAATATCGAAGGTTGGCCTGTTCCCATGTTTAGCCCAATTTCCAATTCTCCCGACTGTTTAATGGACCTTTCTTTCAATTATAATCATTCATTTTCAGCGAAGATTTCCTGAACGTTTGATATCGCCTCACGCAACGGGACCTTCTCCTCATGGAAACTACAGTTCCAATCAGGCTAAACGGGTGAGACCCATGGGAATTGTAGTACAGGTAGTTCTCGATTTACAGAGTTCATTTAGTGGCCGTTCAAAGTTAGCCTAGCGCTGGAAAAAGTGATTGACCGCCATTTTTCTCACGACTACTGCAACCTTCCCGCGGTCACGGCCAAACTCAAATACTTGGCAACCGACTCCTGTTTACGCCGGTCGTAGAGTCCCGGAGCGGTGTGCGTGTCACGTGATAACCTTTTGCAACCTCCTGACGGGCAAAAGCCAAGTGGGGAGTTGGAGTCACTTAACGGGGCCGCGTTACTACATCCCCAACTACAGGGATCCACGCGACGGGCGTGCCAGTAAAATGGGATGAAACTTCACTTAACAGCCGTCTTCCGTCGCCACGGAAATGCTGGGCTCTCCGTTGTGGTCGTAACGTCGAGGACTGCCTGGGTCAGGGTGGGAAAAGGCTGCGTTTTAGCGACCGTGTTTGAAGGAAAGAGAGCGAGATGTCAAGCGTTTGCACCAGTGGTGGGATTCAGCCGGTTCGCACCTGTCCGAGAGAACCGGTTGGTAACTTTCTAAGTAGTTCGGAGAACCGATTGTTGGAAGAAATCTCCTTTTGTTTTTTTCCACTTTACAGGGCTAATCCTGTAAGGAAGGAAGGCAGGAAGGAAACATTCTGGTGTTGTTTCTAGCCTGATATTTATTGCCCTGCCTATAGAAATTGCCTCTCCGGTTCACCCTTATAACATTGAAACAGCTAAGGCGAAGCGCCCATCGACCTGAGTGAGGTTGAGTTGGTCACACCCATCCAGTCACATGACTATCAAGC